AAAGCCTTCAAGATATTAATGACCATTAATGAATCATGATTTAACGAGAAAATCCAAAACTAAGATAAGAAAATATTCAAAGAATCGAAAATATAAAATACAATTTACCCTTGGATGTACTCACAGGCATTATCGCAGAAAGTGAAAATGTTACACATATTTCATCGAGCTACTCAGATTATTTTTGCAGCAATTTTGTGATTTAATCAATGATTCAGTATTCTATTATTAATTTTCAGCCGATCAAAGCTTCTACTTTTAGCTTTGTCAACCTTGGATTCATTCCAGCGTATCAATCTGACTATTCAAGGATATTTTCAGGAAAATATTTTAGTAATTTTATGAATTTTACGCAATGTTGTGGAAGATAATACATAAATTCCATTCTTATGCTTATATCTGGAAAATTTCAATTTCATTATTAATTTTGAAAATCCCACATCAATGAGTTATGGAAAGAGTAGTTTTAATTACGTCAAAAATTGACTCATTATCCATGGTGGTGTACTCAAATTGACTCATTATCCATGGTGGTGGGGCATTATCCATGGTCACTGTACATATTTCGTATAAAAGCCATAATTCGAGCCATGAGTTGTACAGTCAATATTGAATGAAGATTGAATTCAATTCGGGATTCAACTCAAGAAATTCATTCAAAAGAGCCGAAAAAATGGATTCAATAGCGGTTTTTGTGCTGGGTAAGTATCGATTAAAAATGTTGAAAGAACAAATTACATTCATAGAAAAAATTACCCATTCATTTGAATGGACGTAGTCGCATTGTCAGTCGCTGTAAACGCTGAAACTGATTACTGTAGCAGAGAACTAACATGTGGAAATGACAAAAATATTATGTGCAACGCTCAACAGGTAAAGGTTCTATTTTCTAGGTGGCCGAAGTTGTTTTTGGATTTTTTTTTATTAAAACATTCTAGAGTTTCATTTCTAAAAGGATCAAAAATGTCATTTCTTTTGAACATAGACATTTGGTCCACTGTGTGATAAAGCGTCATCTGTTTCGATTGATGACGAAATTAGAAATCAGTTCTTGAAAGGACACAATGAACGACGGAGCTTTGTTGCTCAAGGTAAACTGGGTGGTTTTTTTAAGCCAGCTGTTAGAATGGCAACCATTGTAAGTAAATAAACGTTTAAATATAGGATCGGAAAAAATACTAGCATTCATTTTATTTCATTGAAAAGAGAAAAGAATATCTTATCTTGTGTGAATTCTCTAGACTTGGGATGCCGAATTGGAAAGAATGGCCCTTCAAAATGTGCTCCAGTGTGAAATGAAGCACGATCAATGCCGTCGAACAAAGCATTTTGTGTATGCTGGTCAAAATCTGGCCAGTGGGTGTCAAAGCCCGACATATGGTGATCTTCACGCTGCCATTGAAGGTACTATGAAGAGTTGGTACGACGAGTATTCCAATCTACCGGCTCAATGGTTGAATTCGTATGGCAATGGTCCACAGCCTCAAGGACAAGTAGGCCATTTCACTCAAGTGGTCCGTGATAAAGCCTTCGCCATGGGTTGTGCCATAGTCAAGAGCATTTCACACGATGGTGGATTATGGAACTGCTATTATATCGCCTGTAATTATGCAACAACCAATATGATTGGTGCACCCGTCTATGAAATTGGAGAAATGGGCAAAAAATGCCGCAGTGGAATGAATTCTAATTATCCGGGACTTTGTTCAGAACGTGAGGACTATTACGACGATAAAGTACTATTCCATTGACATAAACGGACAATTCTAACGATTTTCATCGAATAGAAATTAAATAAAAATCATTTGATAAATGCCAATTGATCAAGATGCAATTTTTTCCATAAGAACATATATTACAACGATTTCATATTGTTGTTGAATTAAGCTATAGTTGAAAAATGAAACTAATTGCTTTGTTGAAGTCTTTGTCAATCATTACAAACAAGCTTATAAGTAGTGATCATTTTGATGATTTTGGCGATGACACTAAAAACAAAATCCACACAATTTATTTCTACACATTACTGGAAGTATCGCTTGCGATTGTTGAGGATTCGTTTGGCTGTTGGTGAATTTCAGCGAGTGCATTGCATTGGTGTGCTGATCCGGATGGCGAAGATGGTGCTTGGAAATCGGGTGTTTCCATCAAGGCTGTATAATCTATCTTCCCACCTTCGTACTTCTCCACGTTTGCTTTTGAATATGGTTCGTTTAAATTCACAAATCGCTCTGCAACACTGGGATCCAAAAATTTAGAGAGACTTCTCCCAAGCTCATCGAATGATGGACGCAACTCAGGTTCTTTCCGCCAACATGCTGACATAATATCATATCTGAGGGAAAACGAAATATTATTGGTCTGCATTGTCAATATATTGACATAAGTCACATAAAACATATATGTTCCAAGTTATTTCTGGCTTACATGTCTTGAGTGGCAAAGTCTGGCTTCTCCATTCTGTAGCCATCTAGTAATTTTTTGTACAAATCTTGGCCTGACAAACCAGGATATGGCGTCGCTCCAAGCGAAAACAACTCCCAAAGCACAACTCCGAAAGCCCAAACGTCAGTGTGAATACTGAACACATGATTCTTCATAGATTCGATAGCCAACCATTTAAATGGGAGTAATGCCTATGAATAATGGAACATATTAGACAATTTATATAGCGTACTTTATATCACACAGAATAGGTTCAATAACTTACCTCTTTGTTCTTACGGTAAACGTCAGTTTTGTACAACGATCGAGCCAAACCGAAGTCACAGATTTTTATCACATTTTCGTCACACAAAAGAATATTTCTCGCTGCTAAGTCACCATGCAACACTTTGCGTGATGCCAAATAATGCATTCCACGTGAAATTTGGAATGACCAGCAAAGTAAATCGGTTGTTGTAATTTGGGCCATCGATTCAAAACCATTTAACTTGCTGGATGTGCCAACATCATCTGTAAAATGAACAGGAAAGCATGAACTCGTCAGTATACTGGACAATATGTGTGAATTGAAATGAGCATTTATGTGAAGATTTACCTTCTGGGAAATCCACGTTATTTGAGTCTTCAATGTATAATGAATTGATTACCGATTGGTGATCTGTCTGATGACTATAAACAAAATATTTCTATTTTGATTTGTACAAGACAGAAATTTAAAAATAAAATTACCGGTCATTGTTGACTCCACTGTTTTCTACGCATTGTTTTCTTGCATTTGTGCTGGAAATAATTGTATCCGTCTCACGATCAATCTGATCGACGAATGACGATCGGCTTTTGATTAGGACATTTTGCAGGCAACCATATCGACAGTATTCA